CCACGCGCCCCCGTCCGAAAATGTGAAAATTCTCAGGCGGTCGCAAAGCATCTTGGGGCGGGCGCCTGGGCAGTTCACATTTTCGGCCAGGAGACGAGGAGAGACACAAGGTAGGTATATGGACGTGTGCACCCGCATGCAGACACCGTGGGACAGGAAGTGCCAGCAAGGGCAGAGGAGTCAGCGCTGGATCGGAGACCCGCCGCACCGCTGCAGGGACAGATGAAAACATGGGGAAAGAAGAGGAAGATCGGATTAAGAAACATCATTTAAGGTAAGTGCTGACACTAACATTGGGGGGAGGGAAAAATATTTTTGACTTTAATGTCACTTTAACACTGACAGGAGGTGCTTACAATGGTCAGTTTGTATTCATTTAGTTATAACCTTTATCCCAAACAGAAAAAAAACAAACTGTTGCTGTTACTGCTTTAAAAGTGTTATCGGGGGCACAGATTTAATTTGTTAGCAAAATCCATCTAAATAAGTGAGTTCACCTAACACTAACCCTCTTCACAGGTTGACAATGCTGCCGATCAAGGATGGCTCTGTTGCTCCTCCATAGAGTGGAGCCATCCCACAGAGTGGATCACCAGGTGAAAATAAAAGGAGAAAAAAACCGAAAGCAGCCCTTCATTTAAAGTGTATTTCCACTTTTGCCATCAAATTTAGGAAAACCCCTCCATATGTTTGTTATGTGTTCCTATTCACCCGGCATACTGAAAAAAACCTTCAAAAACAATTCTTTTAGATGTTTTGTTAAATCAGGAAAGATGGCCGATTTCAGGTTTTTCTGTGCCCTTTCACAGTGAACTGTCCTAACGGAAAGACTTGGGACTGTAATTTGAGGATTGTGTTTATCTGATAAGCTTCATTAAAATACCATGGACAAGTCACCTCTCAATGGATAAGACCCCTCACAGCCCCTCCTAACATTTCAAAGAAATAGAAGCATGAAGAAATTTTAACCCTGGTATTATCACTGGTTTTAGTAATAACTTAATACCTAGATCTGAAAGTAGAAGTCTAGGAAATGGCCTGGTGGGCCGAATTCGGCCCCTGGGCCTTGAGTTTGACACATGTGCTTTAAACCCTAACCCAAGTAAAAGCTATCTAAACTGCAAGAAGCATTTTGTTTTAGCCTATGCTATGTGAATGGGAACATATAACAAAAATAAAATAGGTGTCATCTTAATTTGGCTGCGAAAGTGGAAATACAGTTTAGGGTTAGGGAGCGGCAAATTATTATTTTTTGGGAGGTTTAGATACACTTTAAACCAGGGGTCCTCAAACTTTTTAAACATGGGGCCAGTTCACTGTCCCTCAGACATTGCTGGGGGCCAGATCATATTTTGAAAAACAGGGGGGGCGTGGCTGTGGTGCCGCACCGCCACACCCCCTCCCGTCCCAGAACAAAGGGGGAACATTAGTGAGCAATTGCTGTGAGTTCCAGCAGCTGCTGCTCTGGTGTGAATGGCGTTACGCTGCTAAAGGAACCAAGGCATTTGGTTTGCCTCGGCATGCGCCCTGAGATGAAAGGACGCAGCTGCACAGGCCGAACACAGAAGCTGCCAAGCTTCCGGAACAGCCTGTGTGTCTTCCCTGACACCCAGGTGGGGCCGGCGGAATGACGATCTCTCCCTGGACCCCGCCCGGTGTCGGGCGGCTGATTGATTGCTATATGTTGTTTAGGGCGGCTGGGCCTATTTTAACTGCTTGAAGACCGGGTGTTTAGACCCCCTTCCCATCCAGGCCATTGTTCAGCGCTGCGGTACTTTGACATTTATTCCGTCATGCAACGCTGTACTGAAATTAATTTTATACAATTTTTTGGGGACAGATAGAGCTTTCTTTTGGTGGTGTTTAATCACCACTGCGGTTTTTATTTTTTTACTATATTTCGGGAAAATTACAGAAATGTTGTTTTAAAAAAAGTTTTTTTTTACATTATGTTAGGAAACATTTATTATCACCCAATTTTTTGGTGAAACATAAAAGACAGGGTCACGTCGGGTAAATAGACACCAAACATGACAAGCTTAAAAATTGCGCGCACTCGCAAAAAAACACCATACCTAAAATTGACCATAGGCGACGCTTTAAAAACTTTTACAGCTCATCAGTTTTGTGTTATCAGTGATTGATGGCCCTAGAATTATTGCTCTCACTGCGACGTTCGCGGCGATATGTAACATGTGCGGCGTAATGGGCGCAATAGTTGTTTTTGCAGGTATGCGCACCCGACGCATGTTTGCATGCGTGTACGTATGGGTGGGGACTTTTTAAAAAAAAATCGTTTTTCTAATTCTTTTTTATGTGTAACTTTAAAAAGAAATGTAATCTTTAATTTTGTTTCCTATTTTTTTTTCACTTAACTTTATTGCTATCACATACAACCCCCCCTATGTGATAGCAAAAGATGTGACAGGTCCTCTTTATGGAGACATCAGGAGTCTCCAAGACCCCTAATGTCACCTAGGACCCCCGAAGAAGCTGATGAAGCACAGATCTGCTCCATTAGCTTCTCTCCAGCTTCAGAAGTGACAAAAGAATGCGGAAGTGATGTAATATAAATCACTTCCACATTCTTACAGCGGAGAGGGGACCGGAGGGAGATCGTGTACCGACTCCCTCTGATTCCCTGTGACAGAGGCACTAAGCTGGTCCCGGGCTCAGCGGAGCCCGGGATCAGCGTGACAACGGGAGGGGGGGAACACGGGCCGACCGCCCATACAAGCGATCCGCCGGCTCTATAGCCGGCGGATCGCTTGTATATTAACAGGCATCGCTGCCTGTTTTTAAATCGACTGTATTTCTCGCTCGCGCGCCCTGCGGCGCGTGCAGTTAGGCGTGGCTGAGCGGACGTCTAAAGACGCCCGCTCAGATATAGAGACCTCTCGGCTGGCCATTAAGCTGGCCATACACTGTTAGATTTCTCTTGTGGAATCCCACTGCTGGCTATTGTGCACTGCTCCTGTAGCTGCTGAATATCTGACCAGTGCCAACATCTGCTTTGATGTAGGCACTGTAAAGACAATAATTTTATACCCAGCTCCTTTGGCAAAAGTTGAACTGGGTGAAGCCAGCAGGGCTATCCATAGCTCAATTTCGAATCGCTTGTATATTAACAGGCATCGCTGCCTGTTTTTAAATCGACTCGATTTCCCACTTGCGGCGCGCGCAAGTGGGCGTGGCTTATCTAGATAGCTGCCGGCCGTTCTTTTACAACGGCCGGCCTGGAGATAGTAAAGGTAGGGGCCTGCAGCTCCCCGGCCTTGACACCTGAACGGGCCGGGCCAAGGACCCTGGCGGGCCGGATGTGGCCCGCTGGCCGTAGTTTGAGGACCCCTGCTTTAAACCAATACTGTCAGAGAGGGAATGTGACGGGTGCCATTTCATCATTAACTTTTCAAAGATGTCATCCTCACTTTGCTACTTAGCAACACTTTAAACATGGAAGTGCATTTTAGGTGTGATGATACCTGTTGTGATGTGATGATACCTGTTAGTCATATGCTTGTTCCTGGTTTCAAGAAGTGCTCATTTGTGACTAGGTGCTAAAATAACAAAGATAAACTCACCCGAAGGTCGGAGTCGGTCAGCTGTCACTGTGCTCCCTCCAGCCTGTTGCCCTCTCCCTGCAGCATTAGAATCTTCCTCAGCATCCTCACATCTAAACACTGTGTATAGACGTTGATGATTTACGGGACCTTAGACTGCTGCAGAGTAGGGGGAGAGACACTGGATGGACCGGTCTTAGAACAAGCCGGCTTGAAGCTTCAGGGTGAGTATATCTTTGTTTTTTGTTTTTTTAAGCCAGACACAGCCGAGCAGTTAACCCTTGAATGTCATGAATGTATAACAATTACAGTAAATAAGAAGTTATCAGCTAAAATGAGTCATGTTAAAGTTTAAAGCATAAAAAAAGTAAACAACTGTGAAATATTACTTACATATTGTTTTTTATTTAAAAATACAAAACTTAATAACAATTTTTTGAAGAATCTACCACCATCATAACACCTGCCTTATGGGGTCTGCTCACACAGAACTGACATTACTTTCTTAGATGGACACCAGCCTGTGAAAGCTCATAGCTGCTTATTATCAAATAGGAGCTAGTTTGGCTACATTTTAACCGCATTCCCACTTCACCTAATTTTTAACTACATCAATTTGTGGAAGTCCCCTATGTTATTCAGTCATTACACTCAAATAAATAAACCAATTCAAACCCATTAAAGATCCCCTATGGGAATGTTCTGCTAGACTCTGGACTCCCACTCCATGCACCAGTTTTATCACTGGGAAATTGATGAACATTGTTGGTAATGCAGAGTCACTCTTGGTATAGATTTACACCTTCCCAACAAACTGGAATGCATTTATCTGCTGAAAAAATGAGAAATGTGTCCGGTAAAATGAGAAATGGCCACTAAAAGCTAATTTACAAAGACTTAAGTAAGTAAATCTAGAGGTGAAGAGGAACAGGTGTTCATGGAACACAACCAGGTTTTCTATTTTAAATGAAATATGGAACCAGATTTGTTTCACCGGGTAATTGTTCCACTTTCGCCCAAATTATTTTTGCATAAATCATTGTAAATTAGCCCATTTTCCTCTTAGTGGCATAACATTTTCATTGAAACCCCTTCACAAACTTTTGGCAAATGAAGAAGCCAAAATCACTCCTATAGTGAAAACACTGGCTTTGGATAGACTTTAAAAAATATCATAGTTCTTCCTTAGCACATATATGTGTTTGTCGGGAACCTGTAAATGACATATCTCAGCTCACACAAATTAAGCAACTTGTGAGATGATCATTTTCCTTACTGTCTGTTGCATGGGTCAGCTTCAAGGATAAGGAGCATGCTGATGTAAAAACTGACACAACTGTCAAGCGGCCTTGATTAGTAGAATGGTGCACACTGTATCAATGTAGTGCCATACACAGCAGCCCGTCAAACCATTTGGTCATGAAGTACCATGATATGAAATAAGACTAGTGTATGTAAACAGCGACCATGACCGATGAACTGTACGCATGTAGCAGGCTCTTTCCTCTGTGTCAAGTGGCATGGTGTTTTCTTCTTTTCCCACTCTGTATTTTCCTTGTAGTAAGATACTGAACCAATCCACGCAGGAGCATCAAAAAGATAGTCATAGACATCACAATGACATAATGGCTGATGCTGTAAAGAAGAAATAAAACAAAAAGTATGTTTTTAGGAAACAATACTAGAGGACAGCTTTCAAAATTCAGCAACATCTTACACATTGAGGGGAAAGTATAGTGTATTTTCAGTCTGTGCATGTTTTATGTTTATTTTGCAGCAATTACTGTAAAGTGTCACTTTTGCAGAGAAAAAAAAAACCCTTTAGTTACTATATACATTAGATTTTGAGCAAATAATTTGGCAGATATTTAGAAATTCCTACTATTCTCTGCAGTGCTCAAAGTGCAGTTTGCTTTATCATATCATTTGTTAAACTGATTTCTGAATACACCTGATGCAATCTCAGTGTCGTAATGAGAAAAGCTGCTCTGTCTGTATCCCTTTAAAGGTGATTAAGAGAATGGTCTTAAGAGAATATTTCACCTAAAATGAAACTACTGTTGCAGGAAATGTCTGACATCTGAATGGTACCTCAGTGCAGACTTCTGGGAAAAGCCAATCATGCAAGAAGGAAATGAGATGTCCAGGGGCTTTCTGTACACCAGCTATGTACAGAAAGCCTCTCTTTTGGCATATTGCAAGGACATAATATTTGAATTTTTGACACTTTTAGAAAATGACACCTGGCTGCAGCTTGAGGTAGAAAATAAATGTATTACATTATATTACAAAATTATTTAGATACTAATTAGGTCTCGTCCGCACATGTTTCAGCTTTTAGTATGTACAGCAAGCACTTGCAAAGCACGTTGGCAACCTTTGTTGAGGTTTTTAAGTGCTCTTCATCTCCACCTTGAGGAAGTTAGATCTTACTGGGAGTGCTGGCTGTCACTTTAAACTAGACATGGGCGATTCGTTTCGTTACGAATCGAAATTTGGACGAATTTTCCTGAAATTCGTAAATTCGGAAGCATCCGAAATCCGAATTGCAGTTTCCGAATTATATACGAAATACGAAATTCGGATACGGAATCCGTTAACGGAATTCCTAATTCGTTTTGGTTGACCACTCAGAGGTTTTCTCTTCTGCTGCTGACAGTTGCATTACAATACACAGGCAGGAAATATGAAATTCCGTAGAAGTATTTTCGTTCCGTTACGACCATTCGTTATATTGAAGGTAAAAAGCAAAGTACATTTATATTGGAGTTGATGGTAGTTTTTTTTTAAATCCGAAATCCGGATACGGAATCCGTTAACGGAATTCCTAATTCGTTTTGGTTGACCAATCAGAGGTTTTCTCTTCTGCTGCTGACAGTTGCATTACAATACACAGGCAGGAAATATGAAATTCCGTAGAAGTATTTTCGTTCCGTTACGAACATTCGTTATATTGAAGGTAAAAAGCAAAGTACATTTATATTGGAGTTTATGGTAGTTTTTTTTAATACGAAATACGAAATTCGGATACGGAATCCGTTAACGGAATTCGTATTTCGGATAAAAAAACAACTACCACATCGACACCAATATTAACAAAGGAATTTTTGCTTTTTAACTTCATCATAACGAATGTTCGTAAAGTTACGAAAATGTGCCAAAACTAACGAAAATTCGTATTTCGTACGAATCCGAATTGAGTTTCGGATACGAATTACGAAATAACGGATATTCCGAAACGGAACACATTTTTTGACGGCGCACAAGTCTACTTTAAACAAACTGTTAGCAGGTTTTAGTAAGCTGTACATGGAGCTTGTTAAAAACCAGCTGGAGCCCAATAGTAGCATGTTTTAGGGCAGGGTCACATCACAAAGAGTGCTTTCCAGAGCGTTCGGCCCCTGGAACGTAACCCAGCCGCCTCCCTGTGTTCAGGGACGGGAGGTGGCGCGGCGGTGCATTGAAGTCAATGGCACCACAGCCACGCCCCCACCTGCAGTGCGATCACCGACACCCGAACGCGTGACATATTAGTGCCTGCGTTCTGCTCCAGTGCGATCTGCAAAAATATTGCATGCAGCATTTCCGTACTGGACCGGAACGCAGGCACTAATGTGCCGCGCATTCAGGTGCCGGCGATCAAACTGTGGCTATGGTGCCATTGAGTTCAATGCATGGCCACACCCCCTCCTGGACCTGAACGCAGGGAGCCGGCCGGGTTGCGTTCTAGAGATTGAACGCTCTGGAACACACTCTTTATGGTGTGAACCGGCCCTTAAAAACTGGAGCAGACTGGCACTTTCATGGCTTCAACAAAGTTTGCCTAGTGTTCTGCAAGTGGTTTGCAAAAGCTTGCTGTACACCATGCACAGCTGAAGCCCATGTGAACAAGGCCCTATATATGCTACTCTTATTTTAGGGAATATTAATTTGCAGTAATGTTTGCTATGGAAAAGCGGGAAGTCCCATGTATTTGATTAGTAAATATTGCTGTTCCCATGTACAAACATTAATATAGATAATTAGACATAGAATCAAAATTTGTTAAGCATTAATGCACATTATTTGTAGTTGATTTATTTTATGTTTTTCTAAATCCTACAGTATATACACAAGTAATTAAATAAACACACATTGACTTTAAAGAGACTATTAAGGACATATTTATAAAGCCGTAAACATAACATTCACTAAATGTAAATTGTCTTGGTGAATGTGAATATACAGTGAACGAATGACCACCCGTAAATGCTCATATATATGTATGAACAAGAAAGACATAACAGTAAAGAGCTTGTAACTCTACAAGGAGTGTCAAAAAACGAAATACTGCGTTACAGTCTATTATCATTAAAAATAAATAGCATCCCTAATATATCTAATTTCACTTTACAATCATTCCTAAGGTTATGTTTTAAACTAATTATTTACATCTGTTTTTGATTAAGAGCATTTGTTTACATTATGTGAGCTACTCTGTTTCCAATCTATCTAATTCTCCTCAGTAATTTTAATTTTATACCATTCATTTCTCAAGTGATGAGTTTCTTTTAAATAATTGCTTGTTTGTACCTATTTTCCATGTATCTTTTTGAATTAGCTTAATTGTGCAGTCATCCCTAAACGGGTTATTGTTGTGTACATGTCACAAGTCTTTAGTGCTTTAAAGCTTCAAATCTGCTGTCCTTTTCCTATTAGTTCTGCTATGAAAATCTCTGTTTCTGCCCTCTTTCACCCATGTTTCATATGTGCTGTGTGGATGGCTATTTAGGGGTCCCATCCTCACTAGCCAGGGCTGGATCATCCAACCGAGTTGGTCTGTGCTGACTCTTGCACTTCAGAATCTGTCTGTTTCTATACTTGGGTAAGGCTCTTTTGAGTTGTAGATCTTAATCTTGCCTGCTTTGGTTTTGGCTTCTGATCCTGTTTCTTTGTTTAGGTTTCAGTCGCTATATGTGCTTTGACTTCTATCCCAGTTTATTTGTATGTGTATCCTGTTGTTCCTCCTTACGTCACTCAGTCTGTTCCTGTCCATCTGTGGTTGCTCAACTAGACAATACAGTGGGAGTTGTCCTACCACACAAGTTTGTCCTTACATTTAACAGTTTTTTCACAGACCAGACACGCCCAATACCTGCAGCCTGGAGAGCACCATTTTCTGTCATCTTCTAACATGTAGTCTCCTTTTTGTCTGCTCAAACCTGGTACCTGCTGTGCTAATGTCTGTTAGATTTGGTCAGAGTTTCACTGCTGTCTGTTAGAGAGCATACGTTTGAAGAAATGATCATGTGTGAGGTCTATCATTTCAAGAGATTTAATACATTTTGACATATTTGGGTAAGAAAACTCAGATTTCCAAAAACGTATATTTAGGAATTACTATGATTGAGGAATCTTTCCTCAATCATGGGGGTAAACCCAATGGATTCTCCATGGCATAGCTAAACACACAAAACATTCTACCCCTTTATAAAACAATAGTTTGGCCACATCTTGAATATGCAGTTCAGTATCAGTCACCGATCCACAGGAACGATGTCCTTGCACTAGAAAGAGTTCAGCAACAGGCAACAAAATGAATAATTCTGACATCTCATTCCTCTTCATTCCTGACCACATTCTGCAAAGGAGATAACCTCATGATTGACAGCACTTAACTCACAGCCTCTGTACTTTCCCAACACTTAACAAAGTTCTCCTTCTTGTTCTAGTGCCTGTGCTGATTCCTCTGACCTCGCTTGTGTCTGCTAAGTGCAGGGAGAGTGAGATAAGAGCTGTCACTCAAGAGGCTATCTTCTTTGTGGGAATGAAGAGGAGTGAACTGTCAAAGTCTATGGGGCTGATTTACGAAGCCCAACACGCACACGCGCAGGCTGCGTGCACGTTTTAACCCAGTTTCTACTCCACACTGAAGCATGGGATAAAAAGCAACATATACTGTGGGAGTTAGGGGACTGAGCTGTGAAAAATAATACAAGGCGAAACTGATTCTTTAACCCTTTTCGCTGCCAAGCACTTCGGTACACTTTAAAACTCAGCTGGCCACACCATTTTTGCAATTTCCCCCCTTTGTGTGTCCCCCCCAGTTGTTTACAAACATTTGAGTGATCAGCTGATCATTCCAGTGTTTGCTCTGCATACAGAGGATCAGTAAATATTACAGATATTTACTGATGCTCCGCTCGTTCATGTACAGAGGACTGTTGAGAGACCGTTCTGATGTAAGTTCATGGTCACTAAAGCGACCATGAGCTTATAGCTGAAGGGAGAAAGCTACCGACTGAGTAAGAAAGCTACCGACTGAGTAAGAAAGCTTACTGAGCTGGCCAACTGCATGCGGTTGTGTTCCACAGTAAGCCTTACGTCGGTGGCAGCAAAAGGTTTAATTGCTTTAATCATAAAATACAAATTTCTTACAGGTTAGAACTGCTATAACAGATATTGTGAACAATGTGTGTTTCTGTTAAAACACGTAGTAGCAGCTACTGTTTATGTGTTTAAAGGGTTGACTGTGGAGTTACTCGACCCCAGTGATGATCATGCTCAGTTGGCCGACACTTCGATTGTCCCACAAGCTGGAAAACCTCTGAGGAGACTGAGAGTGCCATTGTTACAAAAGCCTAAACTTTTTTTTA